GGCCAATACGTCCAATACGTCCTATACGGCCAATACGTCCTATACGTCCTATACGGCCAATACGTCCTATACGTCCTATACGGCCAATACGTCCTATACGTCCTATACGTTCTATACGGCCAATACGTCCTATACGGCCACTCCGGCCAATATGGAAATAATAGATTTTTAGACAGATCAGTCTATCTAATGATCAATTTCAATTTCCGGGAAATTAGTCGTATCCTAAATTTCATACGATTTCCAGGAAATCGCTATAACACATCATATGAGAAAAATGCTAACACTGATAAAAACAACGAAATTTTGATGATATAATTAAACCAAAAACAACTGCATATTCATCAACCAATGTAAGACAAGTTAAATTGACTTTATCATTAGTAAATCAAAATGGTTTTAAAAATTTTATACAAATTGTTGATCCAAAGTGTTCAATTTTAGGTCGTCAACAAATAACTCGGCATAAACTTTCAAAATTATATGATAAAATGGTCATGAAATGGAAAGCATTATGCCATAATGTTGAATATGTGTGTGTTACATTAGATATATGGACTGATAGAGATTTACGTTCTTATAGGTATTACATTACATACGTTTCTTGTTGATCGGTTAAAATAATATTTATTATCATTTATGTCATTAAAAGGGCGTCACACAACTGATGTTTTATTGTCAGAATTCGAAAAAGTAATAAATTATCATCATATTGAGAGAAAATTAGTACGTTTAATTACGAATAATGCCGCCAATAATATTAAAGTATTTGATACAATTTTACTTCGTGATTTTGAGGCATATTTTGAAAATCATGATGTTAACAATGATAATAATAACCCATTAGAGAATGATAATATTGAAGAAATATTTGATGATGATTTAAATGAATATTTTGAATTAACACGATTAGCTGACGATATTATTCAATCTTTATGTGAAAATTTAGAATTATTACGATTACCATGCTTCGCTCACGCGTTGCAATTAGTTATCAAAGATGGTATTAGACATGCATCTAATGCAGCTGCGGCCTTAACAGAAGTTGAAAAAATTGTAAAATTCAACCATAGCAGCGTCGTATATGCAGAAAAATTAGAAAAATTATCAATGACTATACCGTATGCAACAAAATGCCGTTGAAATAGTCCATATTTGGCTATAGATGTTGTTTTAAATATACCAATGAAAACACTTAATCATATGTTAACTGAATTAGGAAAAAAAGATTTATGTTTAACAGAAAAAAATAAAGAAGTTCTTGATAAATTTATGGTGTTATTATACTTATTTAATAAAACAGCAGTTTTACCTCAGTACATCTTTCTTATGTAATACTTTAATTTCATCATTAAAAATGCGGTTTGGTGGTTTTTATCAACATTTTAATATTAGAACAGATGATTGCACAATTAAAATAAATGTTAATGCTAACACTTTGCCCTTATTAGAGTTCGGCGGTTCCAAAAATTAACCGGAACCGCGGTTCTGATCCGGTTTCGGGTAGTAAAAATGAGGAAAAGCGGGTCTGGTTCGGTTCCAAAAAAGTCATCTAGAACCAGTTGGAACCGTTAAATTAACAAAAGCGTACGACAATTTTTTTTGAAAAATTCGGATTGTTTCATTCGTGACATTATAAGGACTAGATATTTATTGAAAAACCATTTTGTTCAGAACATATAAGAAAAAAGTAATACAATAAGAAAACTTTCAATAAAATAACATGTACAATGTAAATTCAAACAACTTCAAAAAAGAATCATTTTCATCGTTTTCCTTATCTTCTTCACTATCGGTATTATAAATAACGATATTGTCTTGTTCAACCACTTTAATTTTCTTTGCTACAGGTGTCATCATTTGTTCTTGATCTGGAAATGATATTGAAGATGATGATTCAGCTGTTTTTCTTTTCAGTTGAACATCAACAACTTCATTTTTTGTTATTTTATCAAACTTTTTCAATATTGATAAGTTTTTCTTCAGAAACAGAACCTTATTTACTTTTTCAGCACAGAGTCTGGTGCGTCTATCACTTATTGTATTTTTGGAGGATGAAAACAGTCTTTCGACTATCGTATTTGATGCTGGTATGACGTAGTAGTTCTGTACAATCGATATTAATATTGGAAACGTTGACTGTTTTTGTAACCAGAACATTAATACATCATCACCTTCATTTAACTGAATACTTAAATTCATATATTTATCAAGTTCATCATATGGTGTTGATGAAGGCTACCGATTTTCTCTTGGTGAATCAAAACATTTTGAAAGAAGACTATTGGAGGTTGTTAATTGAGTATCAGATGTTGAGGTAGAAATAAATGGTGCTACATTAGCCGCAGAACCATTGCTAGTTGATAATAAATATTTCTGCCAAATTGCATTCTTCACTAAATCAATCGCTTTTGTTTTTAAATCTGGATTTATACGAAAATCTTTGAACGAAGGATGCAATAAACTTGTAATATAGTGCACATCATGCAATACCCAAACATTTTTAATACGCAATTCTAAAATAACAAATACACCATTCGAAACTTCGTTTCGTGATAAGAAAAATAGCAAAAAGTCTTTAAAACTATTGTATAGATTTCAAAGGTGTAGCTACATGACTGCTTCAGAATATAAATATAGTTTACTCTCTTACGCTTATTTAATATATGTCGTATGAAATTCAAGAAATAGAAAACACGTTAGAAATTCGTAAGTCTTCTGAATGATTTCACTTACCTAAAAATGTTTTAATCTCTTTTATTCCATCATGATCATCGGGATTAAGTTTACAATGATTCAGCAAATATTCTCGTAAAGGCAAAACTTTGTAAATTGTTGGAACTTTATCATTGCTCATTTCTTCAAGGACTTCTCCAAATGCCTTTAAAAATGAACAAACACGTTCTGATAATTCCTTATCTACTAATAAATAATAATTTATAAAACTTGAATCCAACACACTAATCATTTCATCAAATACTAATAAGAAAATATCCATCGTAATAAAAGCACCGTTAAATCTTGTATCCGAATAAGTTTGAAGTTTATAAGATAATTTACATTGTTTGTGCGATCTCGACATATGAGAAACAATTTTCCTAATATTTGCAAACATTTCTTGAACAATGTCACAGTTTACTTTAACTTTATCAATTTATTTTGTCATAAATGTATGCTCCAGCTGTTTGTTCACATAGTGAATAGAACAGCCAATTCTACAACATGAATGTTTGAAAGCTGATTTCATAAGATTTTCATTATCAGTAACCACAAATTTTTGATTATCCAATATCAAATGATATTCAAGTAATCTAGAATCGATAAATTGACGAACTTGATTTGCGCTATGATTTTCTTGATCATATGGATAGCATCCCAAGATAAAAGTTTGAAATTTAAGTTGAGGATTTATATGATTAAGTGCAATTCCACAAAAATGTACGCCTGAAATAATCGAAAAGTATTATTTATAATATACGTTCTGTAAACTTAAGTTTGCTTTTATTAATAAAATTGGCGTGAAAGAGCCTTAAACGATACCGTACCTGTGTGAGATTCAGTCCAGAAATCTACCACCACCGTGTACGACTTCATTGCCTTACACAAATTAGTCAGCTGAGATTTCATGTAGCTAAACATTCTGTTAACATTTCGACTGATCTAAGAAAATATGAATACATATATGCCAGCTTGATTTGTTGGTGTTCTTACTTACTGTTGTCGAGTTAGGTAGTAGATCTGCAATGTTAACATTTGGCATATTACATATGTTTTCACCAATATCAAATATGATTTGAGCTAAATTCACAAAACCGTCGCCACATAACAAATAGAATGAACGATTGTCCAAAACAGCAAATTCAGTACAGGCAATGGTGTTTTTTTCTTTTATTTTTCTTGGACCTGATTGCGATGGTGTAGTAACAAAGTAATCTTTAATATTTCTATGCTCATTATTAGAATTGATAAATTTGGTACATGATTTTTGGTGTTTTGTCATACTGCTGGTGCCATTTGATGATGTATGAGATAAAATGTCATTGCAAATGTTGCAAGATACAAAGTTCTGTTTATTATTATTATAATATATGTAGCTGAAATTCGACCAGACTTGTGATGAAATTTCTTTCGGTTTTACATATATAATAATAGAATCATTGTTTTTGATGAGCTTGATAATGTTGTCTTTGGTTAATGAGAAAGTGCTCATTTTGAAGAAATTAATAACGTTTTTATTCCATCGTTGCTGAAAAATAAGAGGTCAAGAGCAATTAAATACCCATAAGAAAGAATTGCTTGTGTATTTATTTTAATAATTGAATCTTAATATTCTTTATCTATGTATTAGGATTAGAATTCGCTACAGCAAAAGAAAAATTTCATTACATCAACAATATAGAATATATATGTTAATTAAACAATAGATGACAGTTAAATATACGACACGATGGATAAACGAGTATTTTATTGCTTTTTATTAGAAAAACAATGAGTATTTATATAGAGGAGAGACAGAGAAACAAACGAGGGAAGAAGTCGAGAAGCTTATTTTCCATTGTTTTAGATACTGAACAATAAAAGCAATGATTCTTCTTATTCAGACAAGACGTCGGTTAGAAAAAATAGGTCAGACGAACAAAGACATATGGAAACAGCTGGATAGAAAAGAAAAGAAAAGAACAATAACATATGCATAACAGCCGAACAGAAAGGAAAAGAAGTAGAGCACTATGTAACAATGATGCTACTGATCCTAAAAAACGGTGCCACTTCCGATTCCGGTTCCAAAAAAATTTAAAAAGTCGGTTCCGGTTCGGTTCTCGGTTCCAAGAAACCGGTTACGGTCCGGTTCTCGGTTCCAAGAAGCCAGTTCCGGTTCGGTTCCAGTTCCATTTTTTGTTGGAACCGCCGAACTCTAGTCCGTATATAGTAATTCATATTTTTTAATCAGTCCAGTATTAGATGGACGATTTAAATTTTAATGGATCCATGATTGTGTATTATTATCTGATTTAACAAAAATCAATATAATATCAACTATTAAACAATGTATTATTGATGCATCTATGAAACTTAATGCAAGAAATATCATTATTGATGTTGATATTTAAATTATACATAAAGAAGCTAGCAGCAAGAATACAAATACAACAGTACCTGATAAAGCAAATAAAAAATGCTTATTTCCAACATTACAATTGGGCTGCTGCAAGAAAACGAAAATTAATACTTCAACACCAACATCAATATCGGAAAAAATTGATGGTTTTCTACAAAAAGACAATTTAACCAGTGATCTGTTTTTTAAAAGTAAGTTCATATCAATCTCTGAATAAACCTGCTAAAAGAATTATGTGTGTGCCTGCTACATCAGCATCAGTTGAACGTGTATTTTCTCAAAGCAGTCTTTTAATGAGATCGAATCGTTCAAGTTTTACAGAAGCTAATATCTGTATTTTAACATCTTTCAAATGCAATAAGTCATTTATTTAAATGTAAATAAACAAGTCTTTTTTGTGAACAGGTGTAAATCTAAGCGTTTGTTTATAAAAACTGATATTCTTTACTGTTATGTCGAACTGTGTAAATAAGAAGAGTTGATTGTACTATGATCATTTTTTTTATTTAATCGAGAGTGATTATCTTCTTTAATTTCATGTGTAGCTTTTTTATTTTTGTTTTTATACATAAAAAGTAGAACCTAAATATTATGCGATGAAAACTTGCTGTCAACACGTTTTTTTATGAAAATAAATCGAAAAGAAAAGACGCTAAAACAACTTGACTCGACTCGACTTGAAAAATGGCTTGACTCGCTCAGTTCTGGTAAGATAGCAGGGGTCTAATCTCAAGGGACATGATTCATTCCTTCCTCATTGTTTCAATATCCCCCTGCTCTCTGCCTCACAAAGAAAAAGGAATAATTACTCATCATCGTCGATGCTGAAGGGTGAAAGAAAAGACAAAAATTAATGAATTGGTTATGCATAAGAAAGAAACACCACACTGTTATCTTCTTCTTTATTGCTCAATATCTACAATAGCAAAATGAAAAGTAATTAATTAAAATGATCCAAGAAGGTCTTACCACACTTCCCATGATCTTGAAAAAAAAGAAAAAGGCAAATAAATTGAAGCGGTAGCTACATGTTTTTATTGATTCAATATGTGGGTGCAGATGTGGTGATGGTCGTCGTTGAAATTCTTCTCTTAATCAACATCCGAAGTCACACCTTCACACATTCAAAAGAAAGATGATATGGCGTTTCTTGATGTTTTATGATGAACTTTATTTTTGCTTTTCTATTTTAGATATTAAACAGTGAAGAAGTAGATAACAGCGGCGTCAGTTCTTCTTTTTCTTTAACATTCATGATTAATTTTTACTTTTTTTCTTTATTGTTAGGCTTCAATAACATTGCATCGTTATCGAACAACATCGAAAGAGGTGACTACATTTTTTTCTTTTAGAGAGAGATCAGGGAGAGAGCTAGAAGAGTGGGCGGAGGTGGATCATGTTCGTGGAGATTAGGTCGCTGTTATCTTGCATATCTTTCAAGTAGACTCTAAACCCTTTACCAGGCCTCATAGACTCATGGACACATCTCTCGATGGAGTTATGTAAACGGTACGAGTCTGTCCTGTGCCTGCACAAGCTTTACGCTCGCCACGGTCTTCCAGGATGGCTGTTGGTCGTGTGCGCCTGCACGAATAGATTAAGCATCAAGCGATTTATTTCAATTAATCACATTTATTCAAGTGAGAGAAGAGAGAACGAGAAAAATAATTAATCAATGTATCGAGTTCATTGGATTGCGAAGCGTTGAACACGATGATTCTTCCAATCTACGGCATACAGATTGCCTTGTCGATCGTAGGACAAACCCCCAAGACCATTGAACTGGTTTGCTCCTTCTCCTTTACCATTGTTACCCACAAGAACAGTGCCTTGTTTCGCTCCTTGAGACCAACGCATCACTCGATTATTCCCTGAGTCTGCGACATAGACGGCACCCAATGCATCGACGAAAAGCCCGTAAGGATAAGCCAATTGTGTTGTAGCGTTTCCTCGACCTTCACCTCCAGCAACAACAATTCCTTGTGATGCTCCTTTATTCCATTTCATCACACGATGATTATAGGCGTCTGACACGTAGACAGTCTGTTGTCGATCGACAAAGAGGTATTTCGGCAAGTTCAGTTGATTGAGACCAGCACCTGAGCCATTGCCACCAGCTATGAGAATGCCATTCTTATCTCCTATTTGATACTGTCTTACTGCATTAGTTACGGTGTCAGAGATGTAGAGATATCTCTGACCATCCATGGCTAATCCCCAACAACCGATATTGTCCACAAGTATTTCTCCTTGGGTTGTACCATTACGACGAGACCATCTTACGACGCGTTGATTATGCGAATCACAAATAATAAAACTATCAGTCTCCTTGTCGATCAACACATCTGTTGGCTCATACAATTGATACATTCGATTTCCTTCTCCGTGACCACCAGCGACTAGTTGTCCATTCGTATCACCCATATTCCATTCAATTATACGATGATTATTAACGTCAGTGATGAGCATCGTTTGATCATCATCAACGAAGAGACCGTCAGGATAGTTGAGTTGATTAGAGGTATTGCCTAGTCCATTGCCTCCAGCAAGAGTCACTCCATTCTGTGCCCATCGAGCATTAGCTGGAATATTAGGAATCGCTACAATGAAGAAGAAAAAGAATCGTCGTTATTCCCGAAGAGATTCCTTTCGCATAGAGGGAATGCTACACAACAAATGAGATATTCTCCCTCATCGAACGTAATCTCTGCTGAAGTCGTGCATCTTTTGATGAACACTGAAAGAAAAAAAACACCAGATTTTTTCTCGGAATGGGAAGTCTTGTTTTTTTCTTGCTGAGGTTTTCGTCTGATCAAATGAGGATATGCAAAAACGTATTACTTGTTCATTTGCATAGGAAAGCTTTTGAGAACACTTTAAAACTGATTTCCATCGCTTGAGGAAGATGTTTTCCTTCCAATCGTAATCTACGATGCATAGGTTTATGAACAAATGTAGTCATAGAAGGAGATTGATATGAGCAAAAGAGAGACTCGATAAGGACTTCTAAGTTTCTCACACAGATTTCAGTTCTGGAAATCCTTGGTGAATCAGAAACAGTAGCATATAACTAGGGGTCTGCGGGACAAGCTTTTCTATGTCTCGAATCCCGTTTGTTCCGTCCCGCGGAACAAACGGGATTTTTCGAGATTTGTGACTGTGCCGCAGGACTCTAGGGATCAGTAAGGTAAGCACAATGTGGCAAGAACAGTAAGATAACGACAAAAAGTAAGGAAAATCCATATGCTAAGAGCACATGGTAAGGAAAGGTTACACATTATGCAAACAGTACACTTAATCAGGAGCGTCACCATAGGGGACCCTGAAGAAGATTTTGAAGAGAGACGCCAAGAGTCTTCAAAGTTCTTGATAAGATAATCTATAAGAGATCTTGAACGATGTGGAAATCGATGCTGATGCTGTATACAGTAGATTCTAATAATGTTCAAAGTAATGAAACCATAATTTGAAGTGCACCGTTGAAGACATTCTACGAAAATTGGAAGACGACCATAGAAAAAACTACAGTGGATCTATTCCGGATCTCGCTAGTTGCTGATACGATTTTAACTAGATCCTATAATGATCTGAATTGATGCTAAGATGATTTTGAGGGTATTCGAAGAAAGATTTCAGGTTGATACTACCAGGACCTTATGAAGATTTGAGGAGAATTAAAGAGAGCTCATAATAAATTAGAAAAAGAATTCTGAGAGGACTTAACGAAATACGTAATGAGAGCCTGAGAGAATCAAAATAATGGTCCTGTGGTGATCAAATGCGGATCGGAAAAGAACATATAAGGAATTCTAAGCGGATCTTAGAGACATCCGGAATGAGTGTCTGGGTGGATGTGGGGTGTGAGTATGGACGTGGGTGCGGCGTGTGTTGGTGGCGATAATATGTAGTGTAGGTGTGGGCGTAGTTTCGATTTATTTCTTCATTCACATTCACACTCACACCCAACCGTTCTGTGTTTCCCTGAGGGTTTTGTCTTGCAGAAAATTTACTCTTGATTTATTCTTATGGGGAAAGATAAAGAAGAATCCTGGTTCTTGTTGTTGATAAAGAAAATATTTAGGGGCGCCTGGCGAGAGATTTCTTCAACTTGAAGAACATGCTTTCTCTTCCAGTAACTTAAAATTGCTAGCAGAAGTGCAGATTATATCTGCATGCGCGAGCGATCGCCCAGGACAAAACTTGAAATAGCTCTTAAAATTTCGCGGAAGCTTTCTGAAAAATAATGGATACCCTGAAGTATATGTCGCATTTTATCTTCTGTCTTTCAGGAATGAAAAACTGCTTGAATTTTTAGCGCCGATCTGGATGAATATGAACTTCATTCTCTTGAAAACCGTCAATTTTTCTGTGTGAGAATTTTCGTTCAGACGTAAAACATGTGAGATCGGAAGAAGCAGAACTTACCTTTCAGGTACGTTGTAGTATAGGATATTGTCCGGAAACAGTTTCGAAAGCTCGATATTGTAAGGACAACTATCAATAGTTGCATCTCTGCGGAGAATGACGGTCTGATTCAAAGTCTTTCCGCTGAATTAGTTTAGCTTCCGCACATACTGACTACTCACATACTAGCCGTGAGGGCCGATGCATGCCACAACTTAGCCAGTATTCTATCTTACTGGTCAAAAAAGTGAGCCCCAACGTGCGTAAACGCCACATTGGAAGCTCACTTACGCATTCATATTTTACCAACTATTTGAAGTTCATGTCTTATAGTACAAAATGAAATAGAGACCGCTCATCAATTTCAGTCATAGACCGCAAAGATTTCGTACCTATAAATTAGCTAATAGATTAGTATTCAGCCTAATTAGTCCTCACATCAATGAGTACTCAACTAATGAAACTTAATTAGCGTCAGTACTCAACTAGATCAGACCCAATTAAGAAAGTTCTCAACTAATTAGCCGCAAATAAGGTGAGTGCTTAACTAATCAACAACAATTAGGATGAGTACTCAACTAATTACTAGCGAGGTTAGCGATCGTGCTTCCAACCTTTGGATGGTCATAGAGAGGTGTCACATATAACTTTGTATTGAGTACTCATCCTAATTAGTGCTAATTAGTTGAGTACTCGCTAAGATGGAGACTGCTTAGGCCGAGTCTTAATTTATTAGCTAATTTACAGTTACGAAATCTTCACAGTCTCAGGCTGAAATTGATGAATATCCTTTATTTCGCTTTGTACTATTAAACATGGACTCCAAAAAAAAATGGGTAAAATATGAAAGCGTAAGTGACCTAGAAATCTGTAGTTTACGTGTGGAGCTCATTTTTTTACCTATCTTACTGGTGACCTGAGACACAGCTACTACTGACTTGCCCGAGATCATTCTACGGTTGATGGCTGTAAGGTTAGAAGACGGCTCCTCGATATTACGTGCCAAACAACTTAACCATTCTGACACACTAGCTAGGTGCCTCAAGACTAGATATTTCATGTAAAAGAAACAGGCTAAAAATCAGACTAAAACAGATTTCTTGGACAATAATCATGAAAAATCGATTATTTTCGATTAAATTGAACAAATGAATCGATTTTCATTGATTATTTTATTCTAATCCGTCGAAATCGATGTTTTTCTCTTAACTAATTAAAATTGATTTTGTCCAAGAAAGTCTGTAAATGGATTAGAAATCTAATCGATTTTAATCGTTTTTTGTTTTAATTCATTGAAATTAATTTTATCCAGCAAAATCTGTAAAATCGATTAGAAATATTATCGATTTCAATCGATTATGTCATGTTAATCTATTAAAAATCGATTTTTTTTCACTTTAATCGACGATAATCCATTCCTGTCGTAATTGCGCAAGTTCTCCTTGAAGCAATTTCTATAGGAGTTTCAACTTTTCTATCGTTACCTAGCATGTAGCTTCGTAGCAACTGTATCGTTTCTAAATATGAAGAATCTAAAAATTTCTGAAAAATTGAGGGTTTCGAGTTCGATTCTCAAGAAGAGTGCTTATCTAGGATAAAAATGATTAACACCAATTGGCAAATAAAAAATCAATTAAAATCGATTAACTGGTACAAATAGATTAAAATCAATTAATAAGTAAGAATAGATCATACACGATTAACAGATAAGAATATCCTAAAATCGAGGAAAAACTGATCTATGTAAAAATGATCAGGTTATAATCGATTTTTTTTATTAATAATCAATTATAATGGCACTATTATAATCAGACATTTTTACATGGGATATGTCTGGCATGACAAACGTATGGATGATAAAAGCAGAAGGTTGCGTATGCGTTCATGTTGTTGTGATTCTGTCTGTTGTGCCAAAAAGTCTTAGAATGAACTAATTGGAGAAAGGAAGCAACTCGTTTTTCATCCTCTTTCCTTCAACTATCACTTACATAAGTAACGAGAAGAGCAAGCATTGAAAAGTGTAGGAATCTTTCTGCATGTCATATGTGCACATATAGGATAACATATGCGCAGCTTCGCTGTAAAAATTAACGCAACTAATAGTTTTCATATAAATAAATGTTGATTTCAGACTGCATTTTACCAATATTCTTTGTCTGGTATCACTGTTATCACTGAATTAAATCGGTAACAATTTTTTTTTAAATTGATCAGAAAAGATATTTTCGAAAATGTAGTATCGTGCATCTAATTCTGCAATAGTTGATTTTCTGTGGAAAAAATCGCCTCAAGGAAGAATAAAACTATAGCACAAGTAGCGAAAGGTTATTAATGGTATTTTAATTGCTTAATTGAAGATACAGAGTCTTCTTTTTTAATCATGGGCTGATGTAATTTGTTTAAGATGTTCATCATTCATTGTAGTAAAAAAGTTGAAAACGTTTCGGAGATATCTGTCTCTTTTATCAGCGCATGGACTTTTACAATCAGGTTATGCTTTTACTATGGGCAGTACATATCTTCCTATCTTTTTTCTTTCCTATTTTGCTATAGTAGTGAGACAGAAGAGAAAAGCACATGAGATTTATTGATCGCATTCCCATGTTCTCATTCCGTCCTACTATTAGAGAATAACGAAAAGACAACGATAGGCAAATATGTATTGCACATAGTAAAAACATATCTTTATTACAGTAACCACTCAACTGACGAAGTAGAGAGATATTTCCGAAACACTTTCAAGTATTTATTATAAACTTTAACATTTAGTATCTAAGTTGAATCACATTAATTCATTATTAAAACCGGAAGATATTGTTTATTGGCTTAAATGGTAGAAAGAAAATTGTAATATATTGAGGTAGGAAAAAATCGAACGCAACTCATTTAAACATGATTTTGGGCGTCAGAAAAGATTGTTTAAGCAGGGTGTGGGTGTAGGTATAGATCAAGTAAATAGCTAACACCAATACCCATTCTTTTCTGGTTGCAAAAAAATCCGCTGAGAAAAACGGTCGCTCAGTATAACCATGGATTCTTTCATTCAAATTTAAAAAAAAATCAAATGGCTTATTCTCTATCCACTTTTAAGTGAAATTTTTGCAAGCACGAAGTAGATGGCACAAGCTGACATCATCTTTCATCGCTTACCTATGCAAGAATATTTAACAAGCATTCAGGGAACTGAAAAGGCAATCTTCTTAAAACTGAAAATCTTAGCAAGATCACGAAAATTTATCGAAAAGCAGGCTGATAGACTTCACATTCCTTCGGAAAGCTAAGTGTTCTGATAAAAAACAGTACTGCCCCACATTATTAGGATGAGAAAAACCATTTCCGATTTTTAAAAAAAGCAGATTTTCAGAGAGAATTACTTCTTGCCAAACTAGTCTTTTAATGACCAAGTTCACTTCATCCAAACTGAGTTACTTAACCCTATTGTATGCAATACTCGAGATAACTGTATTGATTCATCTTGTAATGATTACTTTCTTTCATTAAAGAACCTCTCCGCAATACATTGAGATCTTACCTGATGCATCGACTGGAGAAAATTTAATTCCCCCCAAACCAGTTACAATTATTGAAAATGGTCCTGTTACATTTCGGGAAAAAGTTGTTACAACCAAAATATACTTTGTTACAGTGTCAACAGAGATGTTTAGAAGGAATTGACTGCTGCCGGCATCGTCATCATTGTATGTTACTATATTTGCACACGGATCAGAAGCATTAAAACTGTTATTGTAGATATAGCCATATGTATTGAAACTACTAATAGATTGAAAAGAATATGATCCAGCTGTAGAGACAAGCAAACTAAAAACTTGATAATAGTATTCTGGCCCGGAGCAGTTGCATTCGCGACAAAACTGTGGGCTACCGTTAGTTAACGCTGACAAATAACGCGAGGTTACCATCATTGAAGTATCTAATCAGAGAAAAATGTAAAAAAAATTCAGTCTTGATTTGGCTTCTTAAACTCACTCTATGGCAATATATTATAAACAATGATAAGGATTCTATTTATAGTGTTTTTTTACAGCGAAGTAAGGAAAAATGAAATACTGATTTCATTCAAGCAATATCTTCAGAGATAAAACGAACTATGAATCACAACTGCAAACCATAGGAAGGTCTTTTTTGAAGTAAAGGTAATCGAATAAATAAAGTAATAAGTCATTTCATGGGAAACAAAGACTCAAAAAGGTTCTGTTTCGAAGAGAGAAAAGTTGTCATCGATTTATTGTTCGGCTGTTTTATGCATATGCGTTTAAATATTACTGACAAATCGAGAGTGATTTTAGATTTGTAGAAGTACACACTATTTTACAATATAGGCTATATAGTCTCAATATTTATACGGTGTATCGAGAAACTACATAGGTAGCTTACCACAGTTATCTGTTACGATGTTTATTGGCCTGTGATATATCTCCAGAGTTTAAGTACTTCACAAACACAGCATGCTTGTGTAGATGCGGGCAAGAGAGAAGAGATGAGCACGAAAGAATCATACGGAGAAATGGGCGCAACATGGAGAGATAGAAAAACAAGATAAAGAAGACGGGCGCACAAAAGACGATAGCGAGATGGCATACACATTGACACACCTATGCCATCAAACCAAACGTGGCTCTAAGCATCCGTCAAGAGAAAAAAAAGAAAACAGACGATGTCTTGAACCAAGTAAGACGAAAAACAATTTTTTCTGATTGAAATGCATCTTTCCAGAAAAACGATAAATAAATATAGACTTGAATTATTTCGTTCAAAACTCCGAAAACCATAGACATACCTTATTAATTCTATAGTAAAGTAGAATATTTCGGAACATGTAACAGCTCACGTGAACCGATACTATCTTTTGTGTTCGAACTGTATGAAAGTGCTTATCAAATACTGATTCAATCATCAAAACAGTCGTCCAAAAATTGAAAAGTCTTAACAGAGTCACGGAACTTTGTCCACAAATTGAGAATTGGGGTTAAAATTTCTTCGAAAATTTTATTGAATTTGAGTTTTTTTTGAAAATTCAAATACCTTCTGAAACAAGAAATCTTGCCCGCATCTTCTTTCAGTAAAACAATCAATGTTGACTTTTTCAAAAAAGAGTCTTCAAGGAAGGTATCTATTCCTAAACTTAGATTGTATCGAACATCTTTACTTCATTCGAACTGAATTACTCTACCCTGCTGTATTCAATACATTCCATGACTGAATAGATTTATCACGACACGGTTTTTGTTTTCATAAAACGAATTTTCTAAAAAAGAATTGTTGGATGCTTACTTG